GTGTTCGATCCCACCGACAAGCTCACCTGGTCCACCTGTGCCACTCCCCACTGCCAGCCTGTCCGAAGAATGTGCTCCAATCGCTCAAAATCTTCTTCCCATTTCCAGCATTCAGGAAATGTACTTTTTAGGAGTACATGATGAAGAGTGAGGAATTCAAGTTGATATTTGGCCTCACTGCTGGATATGAGGGTACAGAATATGGAAAGAGCAGTGACAACCAAGGTGGGGAGTGATTTTAGATTTTCCTCCCATGAAAGCAGCAACAGAGGGAAGGGGCTTTAACCTGCAAACGGCACTAATGCAATTATTTTTCACAAGAGAGAGCGCAATTTCTCTTTTTTCCTATTGCCAGGCATGAGATGCAGCCTCATTTTATCATCCCAATTCATGCTGCAGGAAGCAGGACCTGTGGAGCTCTGATAACATTGTAGGAAAGGCTGAAAATAGTTAAACCAATTGTTTTAGCCCCAGGCCTTGCCTCAAATAAACCTGCTGAGCTTCTTCCTTACATACAACCCTTGACCACACAACCTTAAAAACAACAAACCCCAAACAGTCTTTTATTCAGGTCTCCAAAGAGCAAACACTATCTTCCCATTGCTTCCATTCCGGCCAGTATCAAAGCTGGGTGGCTGCCATGGATTAGCAAAGCCAAGACCGAAAGGCACAGCCTTTGGGACCAGCTTCCTCATGAAGAGTCAGTGAACAAACAGGTGTAAATACAGGCTGAAGGCAGAAATGTCCAGCCCTCTCCCCAGGTAAGAGTCTGAGCAGGTGTGCAGCTCGCAGGGCAGCGCCAGCTCGCACGCGCTTTGCTGATGGCTCAGCAGAAACCACCCGTAACAGAACAGAAAAGCTTTTTATAAAGCTGAAGTTAAAACCAGCCGAAAGTCAGCGGCTTCCTTATTTTAGAAAGGGGGTGGTTTCGCAAGAGCAAGTGGTTAAAGACAAGCCGTGCCAAACTTGTCTTAGCTGCAGGCTAATTTAAACCTTAACTGTAAAGCATCTTTCTAATTACAGACCTTTTAACTAATTACAGGTTGAGTTTTTCGGTCTTGCAAAGGTGTTTGCTTTGGATGCTCTATGTCCGGGTTCAGCTTCAGGTGAAACTTGACCTATCCATGGTGAGCAAAAAGTTGAGAAGATGCTGCTTGCTCAGCTGATAGGAGGCACAAAGCTGAAGTTTCCAGAATCAGGAAAGCAGGAGAAGAAAAGTCAAAGACTTAAAACTGCTTGATTCAGAGGCTGGTTCTCTCTACAAAGCAAACGTTAGTCCATCTTCAGATCTACAGGTTACACTGGTAGCTGAACAGCTCCTCCAGATGCAGACAGACATCCATAAAACACCCATAGATAAGCACTGCTAACTTTTCAATCGCACGCTTGAGAGACCATACGCATTTAATTATCACAAGAGATGGCACCAGACCGTATGTTCAATCTGACACCATCGAGACCTAATAAGCTCTTCAACAGCTTTGACTTGAATCAGTGGCATGGTCCACGAGGTCATTCAGTGTAAGGAAGGAGAATAAAATCAGAAAAGTTAGAGTTCTGTATACCTAGAGTAAGTAATGAGTAATGACATTGTAATTAAAGGTTGGAAAAAATGAAGAACCAGGAAAGCCAGACTAGAGACAGTTCATCTCCCTGTGATGATGGAAAGGCCATTTTTGCATCAAATGAGACTCAGCTATCTCCCAACACCCAGCCTGTGCCATACCCTAGGACAAATGCTTCTTGTAAGGTTCCCCAAAGGTGCTCATCTACTCCAGTCCCCGAAGCCCCAGGCATTGGGCTCCCCCCTCCCAGCCAGGCAGCTCTCACACTTCATCATCCTCCATTAGAGATTTCTCCTAATGTCTACCTTAAATCTCCCTTGCTACAGTTCGAGCTCTTTACTTCCCATTTCCAAATTGCAAACTGCAATTAAAGCCCATTCAGATGCTTAGAAACACCCAAAAGAGGCCCCTGCGAATTTGTACCCTCCAGCCCCTGCTGCTTCAAAGCTATTCCCATTTTTGGGAGAGAAAATCCAAGCTGGAGGAGCTGCTGTTGCATGGCTCATCCAAGTTTCTCCTTACAAGACAGCCATCTGCGGACGGGGTCCTCGGCATGCCACAAAAAAACGACTCTAAGCAAAGCTTAGCTTCAGCTTACCTTGAAATTAAACTGTGAGCACTGAAGCAGGTGAAAAACAACCACAGAGTGAAAACCCTCTGGGAAAGGAATAAGGCTGGGAATGGGTCCAGCAGCTGTCATTTAAAAAAAAAAAAAAGGCAGAGGGTTGTTAGAAACCAGCAGTTTTTAAGGGCACCTCTGCACTCTCGGCGATTATCCGCTGGGTTGGATGCTTACAGGCGCTCGGAAGCCCGATTACGGCCAGACCGGACATCCCTGCCTTGAGGACAGCAGTGTCCGTCAGAGGAGCGGGGCAGAAACGGCTCACGCGTCGGGCTGTAACGCACCGCCCAGCTCTGCCTCTGCCTCCTTCCTAGAACTGCAAAGCAGGAGCAAACCCCCAGGTTTCTCACCCGCTTATCGAGGAAAAGGCTCCAGAGGGAGATGCAGAGGGCATCTCCCATCCCATCGCACGCGTACATCGTAGGCTCACAGTACTTCACTGGCCAGCACAGGCAGCGTGTGGAGTCACTGCCTGAACACAGTAGGATTTTTTATGGTTTTATTTCTCATACGGTATCTTTTCTATTTTAGGACTTAAATCAAACAGCAGGTTTATCATTGCAAAATGAAAAAAAAGAAAAAAAAAAAAAGAAAAAAAAAGAACAACTTGGAGTCCCCAACACAAGAAGGACATGGAGCTGTTGGAGTGGGTCCAGAGGAGACCACGAAGATGATCCGAGGGCTGGAGCACCTCTGCTATGGAGACAGGCTGAGAGAGGTGGGGCAGTTCAGCCTGGAGAAGAGAAGGCTCCAGGGTGATCTTATTGCAGCCTTCCAGTACTTAAAGGAGGCCTACAGGGACTTTTGACAAGGGCATGTAGTGATAGGACAAGGGGCAATGGCTTTAAACTGAAAGAGGGGAGATTTAGATTGGATCTAAGGAAGAAATTTTTCACTCAGAGGGTGGCGAGGCACTGGCACAGGTTGCCCAGAGAAGTTGTAGATGCCCCATCCCTGGAAGTGTTCAAGGCCAGGTTGGATGAGGCTTTGGGCAACCTGGTGTAGTGGAGGGTGCCCCTGCCCATGGCAGGGGGGTTGGAACTAGATGATCTTTGGGGTCCCTTGCAACCCAAACCATTCGATGATTCTATGATTAACCTTGAGTGGTAATATTCTGTCCTTCCTCAATCACAGCATTCAGAGCCCAGAGACCTTTAGTCTCATCCAGAAACAAACCTTGCACTGGGATGTGACACCAAATAACTACCAGGGTTTCAGGTCTCCTGGAAATGAAAGACCTGTACACAGGAATGCAGCCACGGCAGTCCCAGGACCTCGTGTTCCTCTCCCCTGCTGCCAGAGTGGCTTGAGGACAGAGAGCCCACATCCTGCCTGGTCCTTCCCTTCTCCATCGCCTCTCCTGTGCAAGCCAGCCTTCCCTCCCCAAGGAAAGAGCTCCGGGCCCTCCGAGATGGGGCATTCGTGACTCGGGGGAGCAGCTCCCCGCCTGCCTCACTGTCCCCAGCTCTGCCCGTGCAGCTGGGAGCGCTGGCGGTGGACAAGACCCAGCCTCACCAGCCCTTGCAGGTCCTCTCCCATCTTCACACCAACAGCACACGCTCCTCTCGACGGACCGTGTGTGCCACACAGCACAAGGACACATGGCCTTCAGTCCTTGGGAAGGGGCGTGGCAGTCTGTTCTTGCCTCCCGTTGGCCTTAAAGACCACTATGAGCAGGATATCTTCTTGTGGGGTGAGAAGAGGAGGACTTTTGGGGCTTCCCCTGCTCTGAAGCCACGCTGAGCGATGTGCTTAGCCCCTCGCTTACATCTGAGCAGCACTTTAAAAACAGTTTAACTCGTGTGGGAATCTGGTTAGGTTGAATAAACCATGAGTGCTCTCCTCATTAAAGGAGGCTTAGACTAAATTAAAATCCTTCTGCTTAATAAATGAGGTTAAAGTCAGCCCAGATTAGAAAATCCCTATAATAAATCAACCCTCTAGATTCAACCAGCTCTCGACTGCTAGTTATTTTCTCTAGCTGCTTTTAACTCCATTTTCTCCCTCTCGCTGAGCAATGCTAACACCGCACAGGGCTCTTGGTCGACATCTGGACCCCCAGTTCAGCTCCCGGGGCTCCGGGGACGGACGCGGGTGACGCACCATCATGATAAAGCCCGCACAGGAACAGCACGAACGCCATGTTTTGTGTGCCGCAAATACAGTGCTGAGGATTTGGAAGGATGAATCATCACACAAAGCGAGAACAATTAGAGATTCATAATCGGAAGAAGGGAAGGCTGGGGTGAGATGGGAAAAGGAAAGAGCAGGGCTGGGATTAGTTACTTTAGAAATATTAACAATTATCTCAAGTTACCAAAGTACTGCACCCCCAGACAGGACCAGCGATGTAGAGAGGGTGGGAAGTTAATAAAAAGAATGCGATTACATGTCACTACATCCCACATCCTACACTGACTGCCAGGGAAGCTTTTTTAGCTAACTGAAGGATAATGATCCTTTACTTTGAGGCCATAGAAACACTTGGCATGACCACATTGAGCCTCATCTCCACAGAGGCAAACACCTCCCTCTCCAAGAAGGGGATCCCTGCCTTCCCCAAATGGGAAACATGGCCTGAGAAGGCAAATGGAGTTGGTTTGTGGCAGAAGCCAGGGGAGGATTCAGGAAAAATCACCCTCCCTTTGAGACATTTAAGACCAAGGAAGCATTTTCCTTGCTATCATCTTGTCTGAGCAATGGGGACAGGTCCTCCACTGATGCTGGAGAGCATTTAACAGCGCAGCCATTGAAGACGGGAGGCTGGGGCAGCTAGTTAATGGCCTAGACGTCAACACACCCGTTTCACTGACCTGGGTTTCTGAGAGGACTCTTTGGGCTCCTTTGAACCGAACCAGCCGCTGGTCTTGTTCCTCTCGTCTCTCCCTGCTGTCGCATGGACGGACGAGCTGGGGGAGGGTCCCACTTTCTCCCCCTGGCCTTTGCTCCCCACGTCACTCTTGTTGCCCCCGTGGTGGAAGAGGCCACCCTTCGCTTTCTTGTCTTCCTTCTTTGTTTCCTCAGGTTGTTTGTCCTTCATCATCTCTGCGGAGAAGACCATGGGTGTCGCAGCTTGAGTGGGCTTGTTCTCTAAGCGACTGTTTTCTTCCATCTTGGCTCTGCCCAGATGGTTACTGAGAGTGACGGCTTTCGTGGAGACCTTGAGCTCTTCTTGCAAGGCTAAGCTGGGAGGAGACGGGATGAACCTGGGCTCGTCTCTCTGCTGTGTCTTCTCAAAGTTGCTGACCCCCCAAGGCACCTCATGGGAGTCAGGATGGAGTGGGGTGAAGCCGAAGGTCTCCTCCTGCCGCCTGGGGACACTGGGCACAGGCAGCGGCGCAGAGCTCTGTGGGACAGACACGGGGCTCTTTGGTGCAGGCTCGTCGCTGTAAACGTGGCTCCCGTTGATGCAGAGGGAAGACTGGGACACAGGATCGTTCTTTGGCTTCAGGCTTTGGATTGGTTTCGGCTCCAGGACCGGGCTGACTTTGGAGACATCGTCGCTGAGTGCTCTCTTGTGGGTCAGCTTTGGAGACGGCAAGTAATCTTTCACTGGGGGGAAATAAAACACAAAACAGAGGTGAGGCCACCTGAGTAACAGGCACAGGTATGACAAGTATCGTTATCTTCTACTTGCAAACATTAAGGAGATCTGTGAAACCATACCGGCTTTTTCCCTCGCAGGCTCTACCGGATTATAATTAAATCACTAGAAATGCAAAGCACGGGTCGCAAGTATGTGGCTCTACAAGCTACACGATATTCTCCCCAAGCACATCACCTCCCACTGCAGGATCCAGAGAGGAGTCTCTGTAAGATGACAAACTCCTTGTCTGAGAGGATCTGAGATCAATAATAAATGCAAGAAACTACCCAGAAGCTACTTAAAGGGCTTATGCTTCCATGTGATTTAAGAGTTTGCATTGAACAGAAGATGATGAGCCTCTGAGCTCCGCTCCAGCGGGCCAGGCTGCTGCTTTGCGTGATGTAAGGCAGGAGGATCCAGTGCCTGCTTCTCCCTCCCACTGCCTGACCCTGTGGCTATTGCTAACGCTCAGCAGATTTTTGAGACTACGAGGAGAGCCCGGTGAGAAGGCCTGCCCGGACTTTAGGTGACACACAGACACTCTCCCCTCCTTGCCAGAGATGCTGTCTCCTTCACCACGACGCGAGGATGATGAGGCCAGACCAGTGTCTCTGCTCGCTCTCCAGCCACGCACGGGAATGTCACCCGGCAGAAACCGAGAGGGATCACGCGAGTGGCTTCAGCAGCACGGTGAGAAGCAGCACGTACCCAGGGACTCCCACTCAGTATGGGAATTTGCTGTCTCCAGCCAATTAAACCATTTAATTATATATTTTGTTTTCAAGGGACAGCGAGAATTAAGTCACTACAAGGGCCTTTTTTGTTTGCAAATCGCCGCTCTCCGAGCGCCAAGAGCTCAGATTGGTTTAATCACCGGGAACCGGTCACTGTTTCAGCTTCGCCTCCAAGCCGGAGGCGGCTCATGAGACAGCCGGGCAGCAGCGACGCGCTCTGCTTCGCCCAGCCCTCTCCCAGGGGTTACTGCTCCGAGGCAGTGTCAGCCACCTGCTTTTAGGGGGCAGAGAAGAAACAGTCCTAAAGCACCCTCGTAGCCCTGGTGCGCCGCAGGGAGCACGTGCGGCACCAACGTTAAGTCAGGCTGTTCGTATACAGGCTCTGCATGAAAAGCAAAATCTTAAGACTTCTCCCCCCGTCCTGGCAGGCACGTAGAAGGTTTCAAAGGGTTTGTGCAGGACGGTGCTTCTTAGGTAAGCAATTAGTTAACAGATTTTCAGGAAAGCCTCAACAGCTCCTTACAAAGAAAAA